TCCTGGTGGCCCCGCCCCGAGAGCGACGGGCGGCACGACGACTTCTTCGCGTCACCCACGTCGTTCTCGCCGCCGCCGCCGCCGCCGTCCCTCCCTCGCGTCCTATCGTCCTCGCGGCGACTGCAGCGACGGCGGCGAAGCCGAGGAACAAGACGAGGTTCATGGGACCCCTTCGGGGCGACCGGCGTGCGTCGCGGGGACTCCGTGCGGCGCCGCGCCCGCAGCCTCGGACATGGGCGTGCACGGGCAACGAGAGAGAAAAAAAACGGGAAGGAAGCGGGCGCGATCCTCGGGAGGAGCGTGCCGACATGGGCGTCGACGTTTATGCACGTAGACTGATTCGCACGCAGACTCATCCACAATCATATTCACTCGCGCCCAGTCTCTCGCACACAGTTCTATCGTCTTCGCTCGCGTTGTGTGCCCCGCCACGCATTTCGGCACGCCCATCACAGGGTTCGTGGCCCCATAGGGAGTGCGGGCAAAGATGAGATTCATAATTGCGGTATTCACAACTGCATATGGTCGGGTCCTTCGCCAGGATAATTCACATGACATCTATCGTTGATCCCCCTTCCTGTGTACACTGTGTTTTTATCATTGAAATACCCCTCCTGGGGCTCGCACCTTGTTTTTCACGAGGAGGAGTCTTGAGGCTCAGACTGCGCTGTTGCCCCCCGAACTACAAGAACAGCGGCTCCCGCCTGATACTTTCCAAATCGCGCTGTCGCGCGGGACTTCGCACACTTTATTCAGGAATCGCTTTCTCGCGTGGGACTTTCTTGCGATTTTTTGAGACGCCGCGCCCTCGACACTCAGGAATCACGCTGTCGCTTTGGACTGTCCCAGTATTTACTTGTGAATCGCGCTATCGCTCGAGACTTCCCTCGCGATTTATGCAGGACTGCTGCTTCAGCGACCCGCCCGCTCGACCCGGTCGTCTGGGCCCGCCCGCCCGACCCGCCCATTAGGGTCCGCCCGCCCGAACCAGCCAGTCTGGATATGCCGTTTTTTCCCAACCATCCTGTGGTATTGGGTCTTCGTATTGAATAGGCGGTGCCCCGCGTTCTTCTCCTCCTCCCTTCTTCCTTCTCCTCATCCTCCTCCTCTTCCTCCTCCTCCTCCCTCCCCTTCCTGGCTTTTGCTCTCCGCAAGTCTCTGTTTCGGTACACCCGTCACACGTTTCGTGGCCCCATAGGGAACCCCACCGAAGGCCCCAGTGCCACCGCCCGCATGGCGCCGCCGCCCCATTTTGGCACACCCCTCACACGTTTCGTGGCCCCATAGGGAGCTCCATCTAAGGTCCCAGTGGCACCGCCCGCATGGCGCCGCCGCACCATTTTGGTACACCCGTCACACGTTTCGTGGCCCCAGAAGGAGCTCCATCCAAGGTCCCAGTGGCGCAGCCCGCATGGCTCCGCCGCCTCATTTTGGCACACCCCTCACACGTTCCGTGGCCCCATAGGGAACTCCACCGAAGGTCGCTGTGGCGCAGCCCGCATGGCGCCGCCGCCCCATTTTGGCACACCCCTCACACGTTTCGTGGCCCCATAGGGCAGTCCAGCTAGGGTCCCAGTGGCGCATACCGCATGGCGCCGCCGCTACATTCTGCCACACCCTTCACACGTTTCGTGGCCCCATAGGGAGCTCCACTTAAGATCCCAGTGGCGCAGCCCGCAAGGCGCCGCCGCCCCATTATGGCACACCGTTCGCACGTTTCGTGGCCCCATACGGAGCCCCACCTGAGGTCCCAATGGCGCAGTTCGCATGGCGCCGCCGCCCCATTTGGCACATCCATTATACGTTGCGTGGCTCCATAGAGAGCTCCACCGAAGGCCCCAGTGGCGCAGTTCGCATGGCGCCGCCGCCCCATTTGGGACACCCCTCACACGTTTCGTGGCCCAAGGCCCCAGTGCCACCGCCCGCATGCGTCACACACACACACACACACACAATTCGGCACACCTCTCACACGGTTCGTGGCTCCATGGGGAGCTCCACCGAAAGGCCCCAGTGCCACCGCCCGCATGCGTTACCCACACCCATGTCGGCACACCCCTCACACGTTTCGTGGCCCCATAGGGAGCTCCACCGAAGGCCCCAGTGCCACCGCCCGCATACGTTACGCACACCCATTTCGGCACACCCCTCACACGTTTCGTGGCCCCACAGGGAGCTCCACCGAAGGCCCCAGTGCAACCGCCCGCATGCGTCACCCACGCACGTTTCGGCACACCCCTCACACGTTTCGTGGCCCCACAGGGAGCTCCACCGAAGGCGCCAGTGGCTGCGTCCGCATGCGCCCACCGCACCAATTTCGGCAAAGCCCCAGTGGCTGCGTTCGCACGCGCCCACCGCACCTATTTCGGCGCACCCCTCACTCGTTTCGTGGCCCCATAGGTAATTCCACCGACGGCCCAAGTGGCTGCTTTCGCATGCGCCCACCGGACATTTTTTGGCACACCCCTCACACGTTTCGTGGCCCTATAAGAAGCTCCTCCGAATGCGGTGCATACAACGAGGGTCATCATCCTTGCGTATGGTTGGGTCCTGCGCCAGGCTAATTTCCTCCTGTCCTCCTTCTTGCTAATCTCTCTCTTGCTCTATCCTTCTCCCTTTCCTTGTCCCTTCCCTCCTCCCGGGCTGCGCTAATTGCAAGTGGCAGGGAAGGAATATTACCCCCAAGTAGGGTACCATCAAAGACGAAGAGGGTGGGTTTCCAGGGTCTGGGATATACAGGTTGAGTGGCACGCGAGCATATGAGACGAACAATTTTGGCATTGTTATTATTGTAGTTGATGATCGTATCCATGATAGTAGCCACGACGAGTACGACAGCGACGCCGATGATGATGATGATGATGATGATGATGCTGATGCTGATGCTGATGCTGATGCTGATGCTGATGCTGATGCTGCTGATGATGATGATGATGATGATGATGGTGGTGACGATGCTGATGACGATGATGGTGATGATGATGATCATGATGATGATGATGATGATGATGATGATGATGGTGGTGGTGGTGGTGGTGATGATGATGATGATGATGATGATGATGATGATGATGGTGATGATCATGATGGTGGTGATGGTGGTGATGGTGGTGGTGAGGATGATGATGAGGATGAGGATGAGGAGTACCTCTTCTGCAAGATACGATGGTGGCCATAGTCATATTACTGGCGATGACGGTGCCAGCGATGCAGATGTGTTCGTTGTTCGCTCCGGTTCGGCAGGAGCCAATCTGATGAGGATGATGGTCCTACTGAGGATGACGATGGCGACGATGACGACGGTGATGCTTGTGTACATGACGGCGGAGAAGACGCTGATGCTGATGCCACGGCTGGCCGCGTCAAGCCCATGGCTTCCTTCGATTCTTGATCCCTGAGGGGTGGGCGCAGTGGCTGGCCTGATCCGTACGCGGGCGGCGCGCCTCCCGCCGTCGTCGGTCCGCGTGCGGCGAGGTCGGCCGACCGCCTCGCTGTGGGCTGCCACGCGCCCGGGCTGCCCCCCCAGGGCTCGTTTCGATTCCTCCGATCCGATGCGATTCGATCTCCGATTCCGATTTGGATTTCGATCTCTCAGTGGAGGCCTACCAGCCTGCCGATTTGTGCCGATCGGACTTCTCCCGACATGGCTGTCGATTTTCGCCGATCCGACTCATTTCGATCGCCGATGCGACTTATCTATTCGATTCTAGGCTCTCCTGCGCCCTCCGCCGCCATGACTCCGCGTTCGCGCGGCCACAACACTATGATCGGCTTGTCCCTCAACGGCTACGTATGATGATGCTGATGATGCTGATACTGCTCATGATGCTGCTGATGATACTCATGGTGGTGGTGGCGGCAGCGCTGATGATGGCGATGATGGTGACGACGATGACGATGGTTGTGGTGATGATGACAATGATGATGACGAGGAAGAGCGAGATCAACCGCAGTAAATGATGGTGGTGGTGGCGGTGATGATGCTGCTGCTGATGATGATGCTGATGCGGGTGATGATGATGCTGCTGCTGAGGATGATACTGCTGATGATGATGCTGCTGATGATGATGATCATGAGGATGCTGATGATGGTGGTGGTGGTGACGATGATGATTCTGATTGCGAGGCTGATGATGATGATGATGATGATGCTGATGATGATGATGATGATGATGATGATGATGATGATGGTGATGGTGATGATGATGATGATGATGATGATGATGATGATGATGATGATGATGATGATGATGATGATGATGATGATGATGATGATGATGATGATGATGATGATGATGATGATGATGATGATGATGATGATGATGATGATGATGATGATGATGATGATGATGATGATGATGATGATGATGATGATGATGATGATGATGATGATGATGATGATGATGATGATGATGATGATGATGATGATGATGATGATGATGATGATGGTGCTGATGATGATGCTGATGCTGATGCTGATGCGGCTGCTGCTGCTGATGATAAGGAGGAGGAGGAGGAGGAGGAGGAGGAGGAGGAGGAGGATTATCTAGAACGTATAGGCCACAGATCGGGATGCAGTGCGTGTGCTTCTCCAAACCCAATATCCCGCCGCCGTTTCTTTGCCAGCGCTGGCGAGCTTTTTACGGTGGACCTTGGACATGTGAGGGTCCAAGGGCGGATTTTGATATTATTCTAGTTAAGAGAGGGGCAGGTGGGTAGGGGAGAAGGGGGGCGGACGGCAGGAGTTGGGGGGGAACAGATGGGTGGGTGGGGGAGCGGAATGGGGGAGAGAAGGGGAATGGGAGAGTAAGGATGGGAGACATGGGATGAGGGGACAGGGAGGGAGATGTGGGGGCAGGAGGTATGAGCGAGGAGGGAAGAGGGAGGAAGGGGGGGGTGGGGGCGGGAGGGAGCGTAGGGTGGGAGGGCGAGGCCAGCCTCCCCCCCTGGCTGGCCCGAGGTCCCTTCTGGACCGTTTGGGGGCCACGGGGCCAGCCGAGGTTCGTAGTCTACGAGCTGCTGGCGGGTCTGCAGCCGGGGTGTCCAGCCAGCAGTGTCCACATCTGCACGGCGCTGCAGCACCTCCTCTGCGCGCACGAGGCGGAGGTGTTGGCCGTCCTCCTGCGGTGCCACGCGCCTTTCGCGCTGGTGCGAGCGCTGGACAGGCCCCCGCCTCCTCCCCTCTTCGTCTCTGGACGATTTTCAAAAGTCTTCGAAGGTTTTCGACCGAGGTCCTCAGAGGCTCTCGGAGCTTCGCGGAGGCTCCCCGAGGCTCTCACCTCCGAATGAAGATTCTCTGAGGCCGCTTGATAGGACCCCTCCTCTCCAATGTCAGGCGCGGCTCGAGCGGACTCGTCGGGGCGATGCCTGGGCACCGATTCCGAGCTTGTCCTGGACGGGCAGGCAGATAGATCGTGGTGGGGAGCTGCGGGGAAAGCAGCCAGGTTCGGGAGGTCGCAGAGGGGAGATTCGAACAAGGTGGGGTCAGGAAGCGAAACCAGCTGGAGACTCACATTTTCATTCTCCAGAGGCCGTCCAGAGCAACGTTCCCGACCCCCCTATCTGGCCCTACCACCCCCCCGCGACGGGGCTCGGGATGGCATCCGAGGTAAGCACAAGGAGTCGGGGCGTATGCTCCGAGCTGCGTGCCTTCAACCATGCGTACTCCCTTCGCCCTCCTTCGCCCTCCTTCGCCCTCCTTCGCCATTCTCCGCCCTTCTCCGCCCTCCTCTGGCTCCCTGGCCCTGGCTGACGAGGAACGGCGTGGGAAGGGAAGGGCAAATAGGACAATGAGGAGAAGGATGATGATGATGAGGAGCAGGATGAGTAAGGAGGAGGTGATGACTCTCTCCCGCTCCCCCTCCCCCTATCCCTCCTCCCCCTCGTTCCCCTTCTTTCCCTCCGTCCTCACTTCCCCCTTCCCTCCCCCACCCATTTCCTCTTCCTCAACATGCTCGAGGCCCGGCTGCCCAGATTTGCTCATGGCGCTGCTGGCGGGCTGCGAGCCGCGCCTGTTGGCGCTGGTCCCGGGCAGGGCCCTGCGGCCGCTGTCGCCGGCGAGCCTTGACCAGGCTCGCAATCGTCGCCGCCGTCGGCGCCGCTGTCGTCATGGCTGTCGTCGTCGTCGTCGTCGTTGTCGTCGTCATACTCGTCGTCGCCGCCGCCGTATCTTTGACGAAGCTCGAGGGATGGGGAGAGATGCGGATGGATGAGAAGGAGGACGACCAGTTTGAGATAGGGAAGCATTTTGAGACCCAGCAGAGCAGGATAGTGTGGGACGCGGAGGAGGGGGAGGAGGAGGAGGAGGAGGAGGAGGAGCAGGAGGAGGAGGAGGAGGAGGAGGAGGACAACCAGCCAGTGTAAACTCAAGACTTGTTCATGATAGTGCGAAAAGCCCTCCGTCCAAATTTCCTTTCTATAAGCACCTACAACTATTCATTCTCACTGAGGGAAGTGCTCCGTTGGAAGACAACCGTTAAGCAATCCATAATTTTGCCAGAACAACCATTCATGGGACTTCGACGCCGGGAATCACCATCACTGCTGCGTCTGGGCGATCCTGAATCATACCAGAACACCAGTTGCAGGATTTCAACACCGCGAATCAACGTGACTGTTGCGCCCTGACGTTCGACATCAAAACATTATTTCTTGGACGTTAGCGATGGAAGTGTTTGAAGCTGTTACAAGCTCTTACGGCGAATGTGCGCGGCGCTAAGGCGAGGGCAACATTTTGAAAACGACCCGCCATCCATCCGTGAAGCTCTTGTGAGCTTTTCAGACGACTATGCGCGGCGCTAAGGTGAGAGCCACATTTTGAAAACCAGCCGCCCTGCATCAGCAGCACTGTTGCAAACTTTTAGGACGAATCTGCTCGGCAATAAAACCAGGGCCACATTTTGAAAACGGACTGCCGTCCATCCGTGAAGCTCTTGCAAACTTTTGTGAAAACGACCCGCCTTCCATCCGATTAGCTCTTGCAAGCTTTTCATACTGATATGCGCGGCGCTAAGGTGAGAGCCACATTTCGAATACCACCCGCCCTGCATCAGCAACACTCTTGCAAAACTTCTAAGACGAATGTGCTCGGCGTTAAGGCGATAGCCACATTTTGAAAGCAACTCGCCCTCCATCCGTGAACCTGTGAAACATTTAAGCTTGATGATCATAATTGGTGAGGAAGTCTCACGCGAAACGCCCGGCCCGCCCTTTCGACTGGCCTCAAGGTGCGACAGGGAGGGGTTATCTAGAAGGAGCGGGGACGGAGGAGGAGGAGGATCAGGAGGTGGGAGGAGGAGGAGGAGGCGGAGGATGATGGTGAGGAAAAGGAGGTGGTAGGATGAGGTGGGCGGAGGAGGAAAAGGAGGAGGAGGAGGAGGAGGAGGAGGAGGAGGAGGAGTGCGAGGTGGAGCGTGGAGGAGGATGGACAAGCGGGCTGGCCCGCTTCAGTTTGCTGCTGCAGCAGCTGCTCGTCCTGGTCGTCGGCATCGCTTCTTTCCTCGTCCTCGTCCTCCTCGCTTCCCTTCTGTTGAGGTCTTCGTCGTGGTGTGCTTGGGGCACTTCTTTTTTCTGAGCTACAGGTGAGTACGATGTCAACGTGGGCAGTAGAAAAAGGTTCGCGGGCGACGCCCACGCGAGAGTCGCCTTCAGCTCGACACGCCAAAGAGTGGAGGAGTCCAGCCAACCTGACGCCCAACGTTCACCTTGCAGCCCTGTCAGTGTGAGCCGCCAGATATTAGCAGAACGCAATCGGTGTATCATCCACCGCTCAACTTGCTGGATTGAAAAGAAAAGCGGGCTTCAGGCCGGCCCTGGGTCCAGTGAAGACATGTGCAGGCGCTTCGGGCAAGTTCCGCCCCCGTGCCAGCGCATCGCTCTGCGTGGCGACCTTTGAATACCCGCCCAGGGCGCAGTTATCGCGGAAGGAGGCCCCGCCCAGCTCAGCTTCGCAGAAAGGGACCGTATCCAGGGGTTCGACATGTTGCCTCCCCCGGGCAAACTCAACCGACCAACCAAGCCAAGCCCTCTCCCCCCCAGTCTCTGCTCTCTCCTCAATTTGCCCTTTCCGCGCTCCCCCCTTCCTCCTTCCCTCCCTCCCTCCCCTGTGACGCGGCGGCCCCGCCCTGCAGCAGCTGGCGGCCAGCTCGTCGTCGTGCCGTTGTTGCCAATATTGTCTTGATCCTTGTCCTCGTCGTCGCCCTCGTCCGCAGCCGTTTAGGCTCAAGGCCGAGTCGTGGCCCAGGCTGGAGCTCGCTGGTGAGTCTCCTTCGCCAGGCTCTGACCGATGGCGCACGCAGAGAGGAGCAAATGGGAGGCCTTCAAGATGGTGAAGGATGACAACGTGGAGGGTCTGCGGAGAGTCTTGTCGGATCACCACTATGACGAGTGGTCGCGCTGGCAGAACTACAGTGGCAAGACGCTGCTGGAGCTGGCCGAGCACCTGCGCGTACGGATGACGGAGCTGTCGGACATGGGCGGCTTCAGCGACACCGCCATGTACTTGCGCGAGCGGATGATGCGCGAGGGGTTCGAGGCTGGGGCGATCAGGCACCAGCCCATGACATTCAGGGAACTCACCGTCGAGGACCCTATGGCTGGCAGGTTCTCACCGGGCCATGTTGTCAGGCGGCAGGATATCAGCGAGCCTGTGAGCCAGTCGGTCATCACCGAGCCGGTGGCCTATCGAGAGCCCGTGATGAGGCAGCAGTTCATCACCGAGCCGGTGGCCTTTCGAGAGCCCGTGTTCCAGAGGGAGCCTGTGATCCTGAGTTCCCCGCAGGTGGTAACTGCCAACCTTGTAGAGAGGTGTGTGGAGGTGGTGGATAGGCAGGACCATCCCGTGATCGTGGAGGTGCCACAGCAGCAGCTCCATACGATCACGAGGGAGATTCCGCGCGTGAACGTTATCGAGACCACGGAACCCCTTGAGGTGTCCGTGGACCACAGGGAAGAGTTGTTGAACGTTGAAACCTATCCTGTGATCACCAAGGTCAATGTGCCTAAGGTCTCAGTCTACGAAAAAATTGAGTTCAGGCCGACGTCCACACAAGTGTTGGAGAGGGACATAATCATGGAAGAGCCATTGATACCCCCGACGGTGGAAACTACGAAGTTGGTAATCCGGCCAGAGCCGAGTCTGAACGCGATGTACATTATGGGCCCGCCTGTCATAACGCACCGAGAGGAGGTGAACGAGTACGACGTCGACTACACTCTGCCGCGCAGTGAACTGTTCCTCAAGCCAGTCGTCGAGAAGGTGACCAGGACCGTCGAGGTCCCCAGGTCAGAGGAGCGCATCGTCGAGGTGCCCGAGACGTACGTGGAGACGCGGGAGGTTGCAGTGCCTGAGGTGACCACGATAAAGAAGGTCCATTACGTGCCGACTTACCCCACGCAGGCTGTCGAGCGGTACGCGGAGCCCAGCGGGCGTCGGTGGCCGAACGGCCTCGTTTCGCCCACCGTTGTTGACTGGCAGTGCGACGACCTCGACGGCGTCGCAGGAGAGGACATGCAGAGGGAGGTGGAGAGGCTGCGCAGCGACACCTGGCAGCAGGAGCAGGAGGGCCTCCAGATGCAGGAGGAGCTCAGGCGGTACCAGTCCGAGATCGACCAGCTCGCGAGCGAGCTCGGCAGGGAGCAGCGCCTGCGCCACGAGCTGGGCGTGCAGCTGCGCGCGGACCCGCAGGGCCACGCCCGACCGCAGTCGCCGCCGAGGGGCCGCACGCCGCCCAGGAGCACGGCGGCACGCGCGGCATGGTACGGCGAGGACCCTGGTGCGCTGCCGCCGGGTGCCCCGTGGGTCTTGCCCACGCGCTGAGCTGCTCTGCTCGCCGCCAGAGGATCGGAGGAGCGAGAGCCAGGTGCCGAGCTGCCTGCGGCAAGCCCCGCCGCCGTGCCAGCGCAGCAGTGCAGCAGCGCGGCGGGGTGGAGGTATGCTTCCCTGCTCGAATTCAGGCAGGGCGCCGAACCGGAACGGGTCTTGGACACCCCCTCCCTCGGCCTCCTCTTCCTTCCTCCCTGTTCCTCCCCATCCTTCTCGCTACTCCTTCGCCTACTATTCCCTCTCCTCCCTCCTCGCTCACTCTTGAACGCATCGTGAAGGGTTCTCCGGGGCCTCCTGAGGGCCTCTTGGATGCCTCTTAGGGCCGTCTTGGGGACCTTGGGAAGGTCTGTTGAGGGCTTCCGGGGGCCTCTCGGAGGTCTCTTGGGGGCCTCTTGGGGGCCTCCATCTTGGAGGGAGAGGATCACAATGCCAGTTCGAGTTCTCCTTCTTGGGCCTTTCTTGGGGCCTTCCTGGTGGCCTCTTGGTGGCCTCTTGGGCCGTCTTGAGGGTCTCGTAGGCCGTCTTTGGGCTGTCTTGGGGCCCTCTTGGACCGCCCTGGAACCCCCTTAGGATCTTTTGGGCCGCCTTGGGTTTCGGAATCCTAGAAACGCACGTATGCTAAAGTCCTTTCTGAACGTTGCGGTCATCAATCAATTTTGCCTCTCGAGGGTCTCTTGGGCGTCCTCTTAGAGCCCTCTTGGGTTGTCTCGGGGGCCTTGTGCCGCCTTGACGCCATCTTAGGTCGTCGTGGGCCCCCCCATAGGGCCGTCTCTAGGACTTTTCGGGCCGTCCTGCGGCGACCTGGGAGCTTTTGGAAGGCCCAAGGTGGCGCGGGAAAGCAGAACCAGGGGGGTGATTGGCGGACGACGCGCGGTACGAGGGGGGCTGCCTTCGAAACATGTTTTCAAACTTTGCCAGATAACAGAAGAGTGCTCTTACACGCCCACATCGTGTATGCACCGTGGCGGATAATGATGCGTTCCAATATTCTCAGGCTTACTTGATGTCCTGCGAGGCCAGCGGCGAATTCGCGAGTGTGGATGGCCAAGGGCCGCTAGGAACTCCAGAACTCTCAGAACGTGTTCTGAGCCAGGCGTGCCATGACCGTATTCTCGCCCTGAAGAAGTCGGTGAGGCCTGCGCGTGCTGATCGAGCTGCGCGATCGCGTTTCTGTTGCTGCCTTTCCTCGCGCCTGCGGGAGGCAGTGCGGACGGGAGGGGGGTGCCCGCTGCTGGAGAGGTGCCCGCCGTCCAGCCACTGAGTGGTGGCCAGGGCTGCGAGCTATGCCGGGCAGGTCCCCTCCGTTTTCCTCCTCGTGTGTCAATTGTCTACGCCTTGCAATTGATTGATTTGGCTGAAGGGCCCTCGCCGAGAAAGCTCGTGCGAGGCCCTCAGAGCGCGGCGTAAACGCGCCGGCCGCCGTGCGTGGATCCAACGGCCCAGCGCGCTGGGGGGGAGGCACAGCGTGCTGCCTGGGACACCCTGCAGCCGAGCAGAAACGTCGCCAGCAGAAGCGTCGCCAGCAGAAGCGTCCTCGTCCCTGTCAGCGTGCGGTCCCGTCCGCTCCGACCCCTCCCCCTCCTCGCAGAAAGCAAGCAAGAAGTAGCGTCCTCGTCCCCTGCCCTCCTCGCCGATCAGGTCCTGCAGTACCTGCGCGCCACGGGCTTCTCCGGGCTCCTTGCCGCCCTGCTGGACCAGGGCGCGCGGCTGGGGGGCGCGCGCTGCGGCAGCGGAAGCGGCGGCAGCGCGCGCGCACTCGGGGCAGATCGGGGGTAGGAAAGCGCACGCGCGGGGCAGGCCCTCTCAGAAGGCACGGGCTTCTCAGACCCCCCCCCAGCCTTCAGAGAAGCCGTCTGTGCCAAGGCACGCCCCCTCGGCCTTCCTCCCTGAGCTCTCCGCCGAAGAGCACTACTAGCAGGCCGGTCGCGCCCCTCCGAGTGTGTCAGGTTGGGGCTCTGGAGGCGCGTGTTGAGCCGCGGGGCCAATGAGAGACAGGCCGCGGTGGAAAGCCCATTCGGGAGGTGGGGTCCAGAGCCCGGGGGCCCCACGCGTTGGAACGCTCAGGAGGGAGGCCTGCGCGCATCCACCACCGCCATACCTCCACAGGCCGCATTCTGGGCCCAGATCTTGGCCGATGTCAGCTGTGGGCCAGGCCACCGGGCCACATCCACCAAGACGTGGTCCCAGAATCAGCCTCTGGAGGCTTGGTTTGCGGCGGACAGCTTTTGTACTTCATCTCAGGAGAGCCCGCCTCCGCGTGGCGGGGCTGGCTCCCTGGTGTGGCCGAACGCACCCGCTTCCTCCCTCTCCCTTCGGTGGCACTGAGGTGGGTTCAACTACGACTCATGGAAATGATCGAATCCCAGGAAACGAGGGTACCAACCCAGGAGTAAAACGAGGCGACGCAGGGAAACCGAAGAGACATAATCCCGATTTCGGAGCCACCGACCCCAGGAAACACAGAAGGCACGAATGGCAGACACCAGGAGCGTTCGGCGAGGAGGGGGATACGGAGGAGCAGGAGGAGGAGGATGAAGAGGCGGAGAGGAGGAGGAGGAGGAGGAGGAGGAGGAGGAGGAGGGGGAGGAGGAGGTGGAGATGGAGACGGAGATGGAGATGGAGAAAGAGATGGAGATTGACGAGGAGGAGGAGGAGGAGGAGGCGGAGGCGGAGGCGGAGGAGGAGGAGGAGGAGGAGGAGGAGGAGGAGGAGGAAGGAGGAGGAGGAGGAGGAGGATGAGGAGAGAGGAGGGAGGAGGAGGAGGAGGAGGAGGAGGAGGAGGAGGAGGAGGAGGAAGGTCGCAACCTGCGGGTCACCCCCCGCGCTCGGTGGCGGGGGCGCCGGCCCTCTGCCGGCGGCGACCAACGCGGCGCGCAGCCGGCGATGGCGGCGGCGAAACCCGCGAAGAAGTGCCAGTCCAACCACGAGCGCACCAGTACTCCATGGAGATCTCCGAGGCCTACCGGCCCCAGGCCGAGGACTAAAGACCTCGCGTTTGCTGCGAGGTGCCGCATCGCATGCGCAGCAAGATGAGGGCACGTCGTGTCCGCCAAGGACATTGTCATACTCCTTGCCGAGACTTACGCCCGTGCTGATCCCAGCACCAACACCCGCGCCGACGCCAGCACCGCCACGACCAACGCGTACGCAGACGCCAGCAGTAGCACCGTACGCCGCCGACTTCATGCCCACAGACACCGTCCCCGGCACGAGCGGCGCCCAGGACGACTGGGAACAGCAGCAGCACCACCACCACAAGTACGACCACCCCCACTACGACCAGTGCCGCGACCCGAGCAAAAGGCTGCGTAACGGGCGACACCAACGCCGACGCCTACGTCAGCACCGCTGCCGATGCGTACGTGGGCACCCAGAGCACCTACGACCAGGCCGAAGATGGGGAGGAGAACGAGGAACTGGAGGAGGCCAGCGTCAAGGAGGCGCCAGAGGACCCCACAGACTATGGGGAGTTGATGGAGGATTCGCGGGAGGCCTGACCGACGAAGTGGAAGCTTAGGAATTGGCCCAAGACGGGGCCAGGAACCCGCCCAGGACGAGGCCCAGGCCAGGGGTCGCTTTCCCGACAGACGGCGATCTCAGGGAGGCAGCTGCTAAGGCCGTGCGAGCCGCCACAGCACGCAGCCAGCAGCGCTACCGAGACGCGGCGGCGGCGGCACCGATAGCCACGTCAGCGTCGACATTAGCACGGACTCCAGCACCCACATCAGCATCGACGCCAGCAACGCCTGCACCGTCGACGCCAACACTAGCGCCAGCATCAACCCCGGCATCATCGCCAGCATCGAAGAAAGCGTCGGCTCCAGCACGGGAGCCAGCGTCCACGTCACCACCCACGCCGGATCTTATCGAGGCGCGTTTGTATCGATCGACGCAATTACCTACGCCCACATCGAACCCCGCATCGAAAACAGCTCTTACGACAGTATCGACGTCATCATTGACATCAGCATTAACGCCAACATCGAAACCCGCGCCGACGCCAGCATCATGTACAGCGTTTGCCTCCGCATCGGCGCCAGCATCCGCGCCAGCATCAAGGACAGCATGATCCCCGGCATCAGCACCAGCATCGACGCCAGCACCGACGAGAGCGCAACCCCTTCATTGACGTCAGCATCGACGCCAGGGGCGACGGCAGCACTGGCGCCAACGTCGACTACATAATTGAAGCTAGCATCGACTTCTACATCGGAGCCAGACTGCACGTCAGCGACGCCATCGCTGACCCCCGCATCGAAGCCAGCAGCTACGCTAGCATCGACGCCGCCACTGATCCCAGTATTGCAGCAAGCATCGAACCCAGCACCGACTGCATCGACTTACGCCCTGAATCCAGCAACGAATCCAGCGTCGACGCCAGCACCGACGCCAGCGTCGACCTCAGCATCGTCGCGGGCTTCGAAGGCAGCATCGACTAGCGCCGGAACCCGCGCCCACGCCAACATCAACAAGCACGGCGTCCACCATCGACGTGCAGAAACTGGCTGTGACGGCGGCGGACGAGCGTCGGTTGGCGCTGGCGCATGGGCAGGCGGCGTCGGCAGCGGCTCGGACGGCGGTCGGGGGGGCGGCCGGGGTGGGCTCGGCGTCGGCGGCGGAGACGGCGGCGGCGGCTGGGGCAGCGGCGGCGGCGAGGGTCCCAGCGCCAGTGCCGGACTCGACGCCAGCGCCGACGTCCGCGCCGAGGTCAGCACCGCCCAAGTCAGCAACGACACCCGCGCGGTCTCCAGCACCCGCGTCAGTATCGACGCCAGCGCCCCCCCCGCCATCGACGCCACCGCCGACGCCAGCATCGACCCCGGCATCCGCGCCGGCGCCGAACGCGGTATCGATTCCAGCTCGGGAGCCAGCGTCTTCGTCATCGCGTGCGTCAGCATCGACGCCGACGCCCGCGCTCGCATCGACCCCCGCATTGAACCTTGCCCTCGCTGACACTAGCGCCTCCCCCGTGGGCGGATGGACCGCGGCGCGAAGCATGGCCCTTGCCCGCGCCGCCATCGACGCCAGCATCGAAGGCTATGTTCACCCAAACATTGCCTGACAGCACCGACGACAGCATCGACCACGGCATCTCCGATCAAAGTACTGCAGCCAGCCCCGTCTCCAGCACAGACTGCATCGACGTCCGCGCTGACGCCGGCAGCGAAGCCAGCAACGACGCCAGCACCGACGCCAGCCTCGACCCCAGCATCGACGCGCGCATCGAAGACAGTATCGTCTCGAGCGCTCGGGCCCGCATCAACGCGCGCAGCATCCACCATCGACGGGCAGAGGCAGGATGTGGCGGCGGCGGAGGAGGACTGTGTGGCGGCGACGCAATGGCAGGCGGCGTCGGCTGCGACTGGGATGGCGGTGGGGGGGGCGGCCAGGCTGGACTCCGCGTCGACGACGGCAGAGACGGCGGCGGCGGCCGGGGTGGCGGCGGCGGCGGCGATGGTCCCATCGCCAGTGCCGGACTCGACCCGAGCACCGACGCCCGCGCCGAGGTCAGCGCCGCCCAAATCAGCAGCGACGTCCGCGCGGTCTCCAGCACCCACTTCAGCATCGACGCCAGCGCCCGCGTCGGTATCGACGTCGGCGTCACCAGCAGCAACCCCAGCATCAGCGCCAACACCGATCACGGCATTGACTCCAGCACTGGAGGCAGAATCTACGCCACCACCAACGCCAGCATCGACACCAGCATCGACGCCTGCGCCCGCGCCCGCGCCGACCACCGCAGCGCTGCTATCACGGGCGCCAAAATCGACGTCATCGCCGACCCCTGCAAAGCGTCGAGCACCGGCGCCAGCAACGACGCGTACAGCGACGTCAACATCCATGCCTGCATCGAGGCCCTCGCGGACGATGCCGCGCCCTCCAGCATCAACGCCAACATCGACGCCTACGGCGACGCCAGCACTGACAGCGGCGCGCTCTCCAGTCTCGACGCCGACATCGTCTCTTGCAGCGACGCCAGTGCCAACCTCAGCACCTGCGCCAGCACGGCCTCTAGAATCGGCGCCAACGCCCACGCCTCAGCGAAGCCAGCATCGACGTCTGCATCGATGATGGCAATGACGCCAGCATTGACGGAAGCACCAAAGGTTCCCCGACCGCGGCTCCCGAGTCGGAGTGTGGCCAATCGGCTGGACCGACGCGCCGCGTCGTTGCTAGGATCGACGTTAACATCGGCGCCGCCGCCGACTCCAGCCCCGACGCCAACCGCGGCGCCTGCAACGTTCCCAGCATCGACGACAGCGGCGCCGATGCCAGCGCAGCCACCAGAACCGACGCCAGCATCGACATCGGCACGGATTCAAGCACCCACGTCAGCATCGACACCAGCACTGCCCACGCCACCGACGACGGCACAGACGCTAGCATCAACCCAGGCATCAGCGCTAGCACAGAACATTGTATCGACTCCAGCACCAGAACCAGTATCTAGGTCACCAACAACGCCAGCATCGACTCCAGCATCGACGCCAGCACCCACGTCCGCATCGACCTACGTATTGCAAACAGCCCTCACGAAAACATCGACGTCATCATTGGCACCAGCCCCAACATTGAAGCCAACGCCGGCGCCAGCATCAACAACAGCCTTAGCCTCAGCATCGGCGCGGGTGTTCCGCGCTGGCGTCGAAGACAGCGCGGGCCCCAGCATCATCACCGGCATCGACGCCAGCACCGACGCGAGCACTACCCCAGCATCGACGTCAGCATCGACGCCAGGAGCAACAACAGCATCGGCGCCAATATCGATTACGAAATTGACGATAACATCGATTCCAGCGCCGAAACCAGCCTGCATGTCGGCGACACCAGTACTGACCCCCGCACCGAAGCCAGCAGCGACGCTGGCATCGACGCCACCGCCGATTCCAGCATTGCAGCCAGCATCGCCTCCAGCACAGCCTACATCGAATTATGCACGGATGCCAGCGGCGAGTCCAGCATCGACGTCAGCGCCGACGCCAGCATCGACCTCAGCATCGACGTGGGCATCATATGTAGCATCGACCTTAGCACTGGAACCCGCACCCACGCCAGCATCAACAAGCGCAGCTTCCGCCATCGACGTGCGGAGTTTGGATGTGACGGCGCCAAAAGAGGATGGGGTGGCGCCGGCGCGTGTGCAGGCGGCGTCGGCAGCGGCTCGGATGGCGGTTTGAGGTGCGGCTGGGGTGGGCTCGGCGTCGTCGATGGCAGAGATGGCGGCAGCGGCTGGGGCGGCTGCGGCGGCGGCGATGGTCCCATCGCCAG